GATCCATATTGAAAGATAATGTTAATGTAATGTTAATGATAATGTAGCCTACCTGTTTGTGAATTGGCATCACTAAACAATGTCCATTATTCTTTGAGTCCAAAAGTGTGCACTTGGAGAAATAACGATGTATTAATTTATTTATTAGACAGAATAACCATTTCGATTCATTTTCCATTAATTATGCATTCTAATGAGAATGAAGCTTCAACCATTGTCTGCCTTTCTCTTTCTCTCCCATGATTGATGACTCAGGTTTTACTGCAAAACCATCAATCAATTTTGCATCATCAAAATTCCCACCTTCCGATTGAACCGCCGGTAAATCTACACGTTCTGTTTACATAAATAATTAACACAGATGAAACATGAAGCTAGTATGCGATTGTATATGGTTTGAATGTGTTTTAACCGGTTTGGGGTATTTTTATAAGAATTGTTTTGAGCAAAACATAGTATTAACCTCAGAAACTGCCATATGTCCTTTTCACACTATTGTTGCTTACATAGTGTATGTATTATGCACTATGTAGTGTATTAAGCCATGCATGGATTAAGATGCCTGGAACCAGTGGCTGGTTGCATAAACTGCTAAAAAATGGTCTTAGTAGTTGTAGTCATGTAATTTTTTGGACTGATCATAACTTTTTCAAGTCAGTGACATAAAAACATAAATTGGTCTCATTTGAATCCGAAAAGTAAGGCACGTTACCTTAGCTGCTAGTCAGTCAAACTAGTTCTTCAGACAATCAGAGTGGCTATGTTTATGAAACTGGCCTCAGGATCACACAAGTGGGAGCGCAGCGCTGACAGTAAAAATCCATTTCTGATTTTATTGTTGTTTGCATGCTGCAGCATTTTCCTTTAAAATACCTTTAAATTTGGAGTTAGTGGAAGCATATTTTTTCATCCCGACCGAGGTGTTATTATCCATGATCCATGGTCAGACACGGTTTCATGCTTCATTTTGCCATCACATGGGAATAAATGCATTGAACAAGAACTGATCACTGCTATTGAATTACTGTCTAGAAACCTCAGTGGTGTCGTTGGCACAGATGGTGATGGAAAGAAACAGGGTCCTTCTGCATTCACGTCCTGTTCATCAATAGCACTGTTGGGGACATCCTGTCTGATTTTCCTTTGAGAAACCGTCCTCTAAATGCATGAAGCCTGCCACTTGGACTGTTATTTGGAGTCATCAGTCATTCGTCTCTTCAGATTCTCTCTTCTGTTTTAACAATCTGCACATAGTTCTTCTGGGTATAGAAGCTGCTTCTTGCTTCCACATTCTAAAACTTAACCAACAGAGCCTGCAGGAACAGGGTAATGTATCTTCCTGACTACCAGAAGGAAAAAAAAAGTTGAATTTAATGTTTTCATGGCATTACAATTTTTAGAGCATTAGAAAAGAACTGAAAAATAAAAAAATTTATGTCCTCTGTAGTAGAGGGCGCTAGGACTTTCCTGTTTTAAAAAGAAATTAAAAGAAATTAAAAGGCAAAAACTGAGATTTAAAAAAAAAATCGTTTAAAGATAACTTTGAATAAAAATGATTCTCAACTATATTATGAAATATATAACAGAATGATTTGATATACCGGTATAGAAGCTGCTTCTTGCTTCCACATTCTAAAACTTAACCAACAGAGCCTGCAGGAACAGGGTAATGTATCTTCCTGACTACCAGAAGGAAAAAAAAAAGTTGAATTTAATGTTTTCATGGCATTACAATTTTTAGAGCATTAGAAAAGAACTGAAAAATAAAAAAATTTATGTCCTCTGTAGTAGAGGGCGCTAGGACTTTCCTGTTTTAAAAAGAAATAAAAAGAAATTAAAAGGCAAAAACTGAGATTTAAAAAAAAATTGTTTAAAGATAACTTTGAATAAAAATGATTCTCAACTATATTATGAAAGATATAACAGAATGATTTGATATACCATTTTGCTTTATGCAACGTGTGTAAAATAGCCATAAACGGGTTGTCCCATTATGTACAATGTATACACTGTATATCAATTTGTTTTTGAGGCAACATGTAATGAAAAGTGTAATAATGGGAGTAATAAGTAGCAAGATTTTCATAATAATATCTAATATTTCATAGGAATATTGAAATATAATTTCTTTCCCTATTCAGTTGTTGTCTCCCAAAATGCATAATAAACATGCTTTTAGTTCTGGTGTCCTCTACAGTGGACATGTATGAAATCAATGTCCTGTTTCGTAACAGAAAGTCATATTTTGATTTGAAACCCCATAACAATTTCCTGAGATGTTGATTTATGACAAACAATTGGAAAATTAGTCCGATTTAAATGATCATTAGAAAATATTATATTTCCATAAGGGTGTTGAATTTGATCACTAAATTAATGTCAGCCATTTTTAAAGACCAAGGAGAGGGAGTGGCCATGGTGAAACATCCAATCATTTGGTATCTCTGAAAAGCCCTGAATGTGCTCTGTACAGGACATCCAGACTGACATGTGAGGTCTCAGAGAAATCGCTAAAAAATAATGTCCTCTACAGAGGACAAAACTCTATAGCTGGTTGTCAGGAGGATATTTCAAATATGATTTTATGGCCTTTCCCAAATTTATACATAGAAATATAAAAAATTATATCACAATAAATTAAATTTCGTCATAGGCTTTCATTCAAGTTAAATCTGAAAATAGGTTTAAAGGCTGAATAGTTTTACACTGAGTGTTACACTGCTGAAGAAATAAATCAGTGTCTTCAATCTCAATGCAGAGCTTTGTACTTCAAGTAGTGTTATTATAACCCCTTTTGTTTCCTGCACAACCAGTGCAAACTTACACATTTATGGAGTATGCTCAATGATTACATTTTTTAAACCGCTTACCTACTAGTAAATAATGAAGTTGCATTCGATTATCTACAAGCTATTTATGCCATGCCATCCTTCTGAAACAAATAACAGAGCCTCACATTTTATATTATTCACATTAGCTGTGTGTTCTTGGTCTTAAAAGATGATAATGTTGAGCTTTTAAAGTCAAGTATGTATAAAAAGGAGTGACCTTGTTCAGAGATACTCTCTGTCAGCATATGTTTGAGCAGTAGGTCCTGTAATGGATGTTGTCTTTGATAAATGGTTTGACAATCAAGCAATTATGAGCTCATAATAAAGTGTAAAATGTTAGACGGATATTAATTTTATATAAACATAAATTATAATGCACCTTAAATAGAACATTATTTAAAACGGCAAAAACGTATCATAAATCACTATAAATAATATACACTCTAAAAAACGCTGGGTTGTTTCAACCCAATGTTGGGTCAAATAGGGACTAACCCAACTGTTGGGTTAAAAAGCTAATTTAAAAATGTAACCAAAATTTAACCCAACAGTTGGGTTAGTCCATATTTGACCCAACATTGGGTTGAAACAACCCAGCATTTTTTAGAGTGTAGTAATACATATATTCACTTATTTGAAAGCTGGTTTTAAACATGAGAATTTGAAGGGGGAAAAGCCTGAGTGTCTAATAAAATAATGGCTACCCGTTTCAACCTTCCATATAGCACAATAACACGATACACAACAAACACACTCTCCGCTATTCCTGCTCATGTGGCATATGAAAGAACATAAACAGACATAATGAGCTTTAAAAACAACCTAGACATCTATCCTTGATATTATAGACAAGAAGTGAAGTTCTTTTAAAACCGGAGTACCCACAGTATGTAAAACATACTGTATACATGTTATAAAAAAAGGAGGGTGTCTATACTTTAAAATCAGTATGTCACTGAAGGTTGCTAGGTATAGCTGGTTAGATGAGGTCAGATTGATGACTTCATCTCAACAAATCCCTATACAAAAGCACTTCCTCACATCTGCACTTCTATTGTTTTCACTGTTCCGGAAACATCATTTCAAAAGCCAGAAGAGCGCAGACATAAACCCATTCAGCAAAACACAATTTGCTATTCAGCTACACACAGTGAAAATGTGACAATTCTAAAATTAAGATTATTTGAGGGAACAGAAAGATTCAGATCTGCTCATGATTGCTAAACCAAACTGTACAACATATTCTTTTGTGTAGATAAAAAAAAAAAAAAAGTCTGTTGGGTTAGAATCACAAGGGCCAAACAATTAAATCTGATCCCTTTGGAAAGCACTTTTATATTTAAATCGACTGAACATTTAGAGCATCTATAAGACCCCTTTTTATATTGTTTGATGTTTATCACCCGTAATATTTATAATCTATATAAAAACTTTAATTAAGAGGCTCGAATGTCTCCGTGATGTTTTTATGGGATATTCACAACAAATGTGTTGACACAAATTACATAGTTGCTGCCAAAGCTTAATACTTAAACTTACAGTCATTCCTAATATTGTCATTTTTGTTTAGGCATGTAGGTGAGAAAAAAAAGAAGCCTGAACACAACTTCTGGAGCTAAATATGTTTAAACAGATTTTGTTGGCTCTTATTTAGTGTCAGAAACATCAATATTTACATTCTATAGCAATATTGCAAAATAATGAACTTAATGGGTCATATATTGTACCACATTTAATAATAAAAAGTGATGCTGTCAAAGTTGAAGAGGTCCCATTCATTTATTTTGAATTGAATATTTGGAGAGAAAGAAAACACTCAAATTCTGCTCAACCACTACATAAACCCTTGACCAACCATCAGAAATAAGTTGTATAAATGAGCATATTCTAACAAATAAATTAATTCATATTAGCTTTAAGTTATACTCTTCATAATAAAGTGATTCACGGCAATAAATATATCAGCTTGAACAGAGGCTCTTCAGCATAACAGTCACTGAAACGGACCACAATATCAGTCTAATCCAGTTTAGTATGAACGGCAGCTTGAAATTGATAAAGCCTTTAAAATGCCTTTCTTTTCTTTTTTTTCCAATTTCTTGGCTACGTCTTATATATATATATATATATATATATATATAAAAATTATAAAATAAATATTTTTCTTCTCTGTAATTGTCTTCTGCTTTGCAAATCTAGCTATCTAATAACCCTGGCATTGTCTACTATAAATATTGCTGGTTTTGTTCCCCTATTGTAAGCCACTTTGGATAAAAGCATCTGCTATATGCATAAATGTAACAGTACTGGTAAAAACACATCAGACAAATCCCTTTCCACACATTCATCCAGTAAATCTATACGCTGATCTTTATATTAACAGACATTCATTGTGTGGGCCAGGGTTCCCATTAACCTGAGAATTTGTGCTCATGTTCCCATATCCCATCAATGTTTCTGTATATTGAGCTTCCAAAAGAAGAGCTTCTCCACTGGATTGCAGACACTGATGTGTCAAATATCAGTGACTGCATCTTCCATCCACTTCAAGTAATGCTGGCTTCCATCATCAATAGGAAAACTGATTATTTCTGGAATGTCATAGGGATGCACAGCTCTGAGGGAACACAAATGAGCCCCAGTTAAAATAACAGATTTGAACATTATAACAACAAGGAAATAAATGCAAATGAAACCTCTACACTGTTCTGTATTGTACACTATCATTCAAAAGTTTGGGGTCAGTAAGATAAAAAAAATAAATAAAATAATAATAATAATAATAATAATAATAATAATAATTAATACATTTATTTAGCAAATAATTTTTTTTTTAAATAAACACTGTTCTTTTGAACCTTCTATTCTCTGTATATCCCGAAAAAAGTATTACATTTTTCCACAAAAATATTAAGCATCACAACTGCTTTCAACGTGGATAATAATAAATGTCTCTTGAGCACCAAATCAATTAAAAGCAATTCGAATGATTTCTGAAGGATCATGTGACACTGAATGCCTGCTGAAAATTAAGCTTTGCCATCACAGGAAGAAATTACATCTTACAATACATTAAAACAGAAAATGGTTATTTTAAATTATAATATTTCACAATATTCCTCTTTTTACTGTGCTTTTGTTCAAATAAATGCAGCCAGGGTGAGCATAAGAGACTTCTTTATAAAAACATCAGAAAATCTTACCAACCCCAAACTTTTGTATGATTGTGTACAATGATGGTGAAACTCAGAAAGTTAATTTAAACTGGTCATTAATTTAAACTTTTGTTCATTCAGAAAAGGTATTCAGAAACTGTTTTCTTTCTTCACATCTTCTAGGTGTGTAAATTGAAGCTTCATTATAAGGAGCCAGCTTCTATACCACAGCTCGAGTCTTAAAAGCTTTGTGTTCACATGCACCGGGGGTTCCACTGAGCATTCAATCTTTTTAGGCTTTTTGAAAGCTCTGGACAAATGTTTTCCATAATTTGGTTAAGTCAGACATATATTAAAAAAAGCAAACAAATGTATCATCGGTAACACTTTAGATTAGGGAACACATTTTCAATATTAACTAGAGTTTTCCCTAATTAAACTCCTAATTTGCCGCTTATTGATAACAAGGTAGCTGTTGTTCTCATGATGGCACATTTCCTGCAACAATCCAGGAAGTAAAAGAAAGTAAAAGTGTCACTCAGTATGTGAGGTAAGTGGTATATGTCTTCTGACCTTCTTACAGGTACCACAAAGGGAGCATTTTGTTAGATCCACACAATTTTCTTCCGGCTGAGATGATTTGTTGTCATGGAAATTGTTATACCAATCGAGAAAGGCTCATACAACAGTCACTCAATTTGTTTCATATAACAGCCGATTTGATTTTGAACCCTGGATTAGTGATACATCACTATATACTGTGAATAACACTACACACACTATATATTGTCTATAATGAACTGAAATAATCAAACATTTAAGCATTCATGTGTATGACTGTTAATCGTGACTTTGCATGTTGGGTGAATTTGTAGAAGTTTAAGCAATTGTGATAAGAAATGTACTTACTTTATATAAGCCACAAGTCTCTGCACCAGAGACGTTCTTGTCCTCACAAGCTGTTAAAGAAATCATTAATTCAGAATGCATAACATTTTTTTAATAGCATAACCATAATAATAGATGCAAATTACTACAGATGCTGTATACAATAAATGATATAGACAATTTCTCATTAAAGCATTATTAGCATATTTAAAAATAAGAATATTTGATTTGAATAAGAAACCTGAAGTTTAAATAACAGACCAGCAGTATTTCTGAGGTATCCCGTATCTCTCCATTCCAGTAGTACCTGAAATCAATACACAATTGATATTTTTGGTAAATTACATTTATACATGCATTTAATTCGTATTGGAAAAATTTTATAATTTATATTTTACAGGAAATAAAAATATTAATAGTTAAAGGGGTCATATGGTGCGATTTCAATTTTTCTTTTCTCTTTGGAGTGTTACAAGCTCTTGGTGCATAAAGAAGATCTGTAAAGTTGCAAAGACTAAAGTCTCAAATCCAAAGAGATATTCTTTATAAAAGTTAAGAGTCAGCCACGCCTACCTAAAATGCCTCGTTCTAACACGCCCCCACATGTCTACGTCCCGATGTGGGAAGATTTGTATAACGCCGCCCAAATGTTCACGCAAAGAAAGAAGGCGTAACTTTTATTCTCGCTGTAGTATTGTTGCTGCCGCCGCCATGTCGTGAAGGCGCTGTGTGTTTCCTTGTGAAAGCGAAACTACTTTGTTTGGCCTTCCAAAAGAGGACGATATCCGCTTCGTCATGCCTGAAGCTGATCCGTGCTGGTTGCTGAGGAAATACATCAACTTTGCGCTGTGGATCGCCGGATC